TTGAGATGGGAAGTTAGTGGATCGTGGGTTCGAATCCCGCTCGTGCCATTGAATTTTTTATCTCAACTAAAAACCTTAATTAATTGTATTTAATTGTATTGTATTTAAGAATGAGGGAGAGTAGGAATGAGTTTGGATTTAGGAAATGATTGCAATGGGCGCTGAATTGACCTAGCTTTTGCTAGCACCCAGAGCTCAACCTCGAGTCCTGCAGTTAATTTATTGAAAATTACAAAGGCTGGAATTGCCGGTGGACTATGAGAAAGGCCCAAACCTGTACGTGCATCTGTAATACGTGTGTAGATTTGAGCTTAGATCACTCCAAATCCCAAATCCAAATCACGATATTTAAGTATGAAGCCCTGCAGGTAATAATGAAGTGAGGATATCTTATTTTTTATTTTATTAATTTTATCAAAGTATCTACTGAACCATAATATAAACAAAAAAGCTCTTGTAGTAAGTTTGCAATTTCTAAAATAATATGTTTAATAATGTAGGCAGGTTAATTTATAATATTGATTCATAAAGTAAACGCTGTTATTTATTTATTTAATTTTTTAAGAACTTGTTGGCATAACCCAATTTAACCCAAAACATAACCCAATACATCTGCCACGTTAACTTTAAATCGATGAAGCAAAAAGCGTCACGAAAAAATTGGGTTCCCAACCCAAAAACATATCAATGATCTTAAGCACACAGCTTATAGATAAAAGAAATAACATTGTACGCTCCTGATTTTTTTTTTCTAAGATTTTAAATCATAATGTTTACGGTATTCTATAATTAATGGTTTTCAATTTTTTTTCTGAAGAAATAATATTAGAACGTTGTTCTTGTCAAAATATACAGTCATTTTAACTGGGAAACTGTAAAATTACAAAAAATATCTTAGATTAAAGTTGTTCCATCCTATTTCATCAGAATTATTTCTATTTTTTACTTTACCTGGCTTAATTGTCATAAAATCTAGTCTTATTTTGTCTTTTTGGGATGATAAATCGGACATTTGGTCGTTCACCGAAGAAGGCGAAAGGCCGAAACGTAAGATCAAATAACATCAGGAAAATCTTGTATCTGTCTCTTAATGTGGACGATAAAGTAGGAAAAGGTATAAGAAAGCCTAGTGCAGACAACATACAAATGGTTATTATTATGTCCTGAAATATTTTATAATGATAAAATTTTAACCCGCAATATTATTTAACTATTATTTTTCAAGATTATTTTTGATGGAGTAAAATTGAGATTTTAGCCTTCCTGTAAAAATATACACAGTATTGTAAAAGAGAAACTTAGCATAAAATTACTAATAATATCCACAAGTAACGCAATTTTTTTCATGTTTATTTTTATTTAACTCTTTTTTTTGTTTTATAGTCGTAAGAAACTCTTATTGCATAGAGACAGTGAAGGAAACAAATTTAAATGAAAACCATATTGATAGGGTTTTAATTCATTAGCTATTACTTAGCTTTAGGTTGGTTTAAGGTTGAAAAAGATGGACATAATCCCCATTTTAAAAATTAAAAACTTTAGAGTTACTAGTTGGGTAATTTTTTTTTTATATTTTTTACAGTCCCAGCAGGTCAGGTAACCCAAGCATAGGGCAGTCAAACAACACAACAAATAAATCATTATAATGTAACTATACAAAAAAGGATATACAAACAAAAATAAAGAATAAAGAAGGTCTAACACTTTAGCAAACAAATCAACATTGTAAAAAGGAATGTGTGTTTCTTAGTGAATTGTTGTTTCATAATTTGTTGAAATTGTGAGGAGCGGTCAAGAATGAGGTAGTTTAAAAAAAAACACCTTTTTAATTTTTTTGTTGACGTTTCGACCTTTATTGCGGTCATCTTCAGGGCCTAGGTAAATTATAAAGCACATATTGATTGGAAAAAATACAATTTAAGATATAAATATAAATTTTATAAATTATTTTCAATATAAAGTTTTGTAATTTACCCAGGCCCTGAAGATGACCGGAATAAAGGTCGAAACGTTGGGAAAAAAATGAAAAAGCTGTTTTTCTAAACTACCTCATTTTTGGCCGCTTCTCACGCCTTCAACAAATTATTATAAATAGATGCATAAATAACACAATAACAGTAATAAATAAACCCTCATTTACATTCTAAAGCTCGTTCTAGATTGTTTTTAAATTCACTATTTTTCGTGGTCCGCTTGACCAATTAATAAAATTCAATTAATTAAGATTTTTAAGTTGAGATAAAAAGTCAGCGTCAAAATCAAAATGGCAAAAAGGAGGGAAAATTCAAAAGGTGGGGTTGAGATGGTAAGTTAGTGTCCGAGGGGATCGAAGTCACGATAGCTCAAGTGGTAGAGTAGCGGCGTATCAAGGTCGTGGGTTCGTATCCCGCTCATGACGCTGACTTTTTATCTCAACTTAAAAACCTTAATTAATTGATTGTTTTTAAACATACGGATGAGGAGAAGGGGGACGGCACTGATACCGAATTTATTTATGTTAGGAACAGCTGTGTAGATTGAGGACTCTAACCCGTATTTGATCCTGTGCCGTTGTACCAAATAATTCATGGGTCCGTTGTTTAAAGCCTATATAAGACAATATCTCCGGGGTGTCAATGAAAAATTAAAAAATTATTTAGACTCTTCCACAGAAATATAACGGAAGGCAAAACTCGTCTATCTGCCAGAGAATCCAGGACTACTAGAGCACGTCTGGTTTCATAGAGGCAATGATGGCACTTCCTGTGATTGCATATCTTGTAAAACAGGTATTTCTTGGCCTTTCTCTGTACCCTTTCTATCATGTAAGACCCATCTAAAGAACCCGGCGACAAAAAACACTGGCATACTCTTGGTGACTGCGCGGCAGTGATTAACAAAGCGATTTTATTGCAAAACGGTTCTTGGTCAACTGTTTGCCTGAGTACGAATCCTAAATTTTTAAACGCTTTGTTCCTAATATGAGTTGCATAATTAGATTTTGCATTGGCTTTTCTTTAATTTGCTTGCAAGAAAACAACATTCTTCATGTGCAGCACTTCGCAATATATTTGACAAAACAGTAAAATTATGTGGGATAAAGGTCGATTTAATTGAAGTTGGCTTGTTTCCAGGAGGTTCATCAAGATGCCCACTTCCTACAAAAAACCAGTTAGTTATTTCCGCACTTGGAAAGAAAAAGGGAAACACAGCGCAAGTGAAACCAATATGTAATTTTACCCGAGTTTTCGCAGATTATAGCTTTCAAAAATTTAACAATTGGGAATTTTATAGATTTTAGTTAGATTCCTGGTTCAAAAAAATTCCTGGTTTTCTTCATGTAATTGAAATGCAATTTAGATTTATTGTTTTAAAAGTTTATCTTCTCCCTCTCCCCTCAAAAAAAACTTGATTAAGCATCTTCCAGTTGGCTTCTACAATGGCAATTTGCGCGTGTATTTCACCGTCTTAAAAAATACGACGTTACACGAAATCGAGGTTCTCCAACGAAGCATGCCTATTTGTTTGATGGTGTCTAAAAAGTTAATTATTATCCCATGGCCAGCGATATTAAAACGACTCGAATTAAGCCTTATTACATGCCCCATGGATTCAAGGATAGATGTCTTGAATTATTCCTGAAAAATTGAGTACTTCATAGTGTAATTTGCAGGTGCTACGCCAATTTGCTTAATGGCGTAGTGTTGATTTCTTTTATTATCGGCGTTGTTGGCATAACCCAACTTAACCCAAAACATCACCCAATACATCTGCCCCGTTAACGTGAAATTGATGAAGCAAAAAGGGTCACGAAAAAATTGGGTTTCCTACCCAAAAACATATCAATGACCTTAAGCACACAGCTTATGGATAAAAGAAATAACATTGTACGCCCCTGATTTTTTTAATGATATTTTTTTTAAATCATAATGTTTATAATATTCTGTAATTAATGGTTTTCAATTTTTTTTTCTGAAGAAATAATATTAAAACGTTGTTCTTGTCAAAATATACATTCATTTTAACTGGGAAACTGTAAAATTACAAAAAATATATATTTCTATTTTCATAATTATTTCTATTTTTTACTGTATCTGGCTTTATTGTCATACGATCTAGACTTATTTTAGCATTTTCAAACCCGCAGGAAAATTATGAGGTTTCTCTACAGCATTTGGGGTGATAAATCGGACATTTGGTCGTTACACCGAAGAAGGCGAAAGGCCGAAACGTAAGATCAAATAACATCAGGAAAATCTTGTATCTGTCTCTTAATGTGAACGATAAAGTACGAAAAGGTATAAGAAAGCCTAGTGCAGACAGCATACAAATGGTTATTATTATGTCCTGAAATATTTTATATTGATAAAATTTTAATACGCGATATTTTTTAACTATTGCTTTTCGAGATTATTTTGGATTTTCGTTTTTTGATGGAGTAAAATTAAGATGTTATCCTTTCGGTAAAAATATACACAGTATTGTAAAAGAGAAACTTAGCATAAAATTACTAATAATATCCACAAGTAAAGCAATTTTTCATGTTTAAAAAGTTGAGTACTTTATAGTGTAATTTGCAGGTGCACACCCAAAATGTATAATTATAGCACGATATGTGCAAGGGCACTCTCGACACGACACGCAAGAATGGCACAATTACTCAGAAGACAAACACTTTGAGCCCTGAAGATGATCTCAATAAAGATCGGAACGTTGGCACAATAAAGAAAACGTTTTTTAAACCTACGTCAACCAGACCGCATCTCACGATCTCAGAATAATCATTGACTAACGGTCACTAAACACTACACATGGACCATATTAATTATTTAAATTAATCACACTATCATATGCGATTTTATAGTTAATAAATAAATTATATGATCTACACTTTTCTAGTATATATTCTTAAGATTGATTATTTGATCAGTTTACCGTTTTAAATTTAAATTTACCGTTTCTAACTTAAAAGATGACCCATGTGTTATTGTTCGACAATTTATTATAAAAAAATCTCCATGGAAACATTCTGAGAGTGAATTGTAATTCTTTGTGTGAATACATTGAGACGATTTTCTCTGTTCTTTTGTGTTACCGACTTAATAAGGAGATTGCTTGAGTTTGCTAATTTGAAGATTCAAGATCGACAGATTGGAAGACAATATTGATTTAAATTGTTTTTCAATTTTCAATACCCTGCAGTGACTGTAAGTGTACTACTGAAACCCTTCGAGATTTATTGACAGCGAGACATAAAATTATTAATTTTATCCATTAAACAGGTAATTAAAACTACAACATCACTTGATTTGATATAGGAAATTAAATACAACTGCGTGTTACGCAGTGCATAAAGTATATACATTGTACTTATTCATCACATCCCTAAGACCAATTTGCTTTCTTAAATAAAACACATTAAAGAAATGAATTTTTTCGCGGCTGCAAGTGCTGTTGGATTTGCCTATTGCTTGTTCAATTCTTTTTTGACAATAAGAGAAGATAGGCGACAAAAAGAAAAAGAAAGGCGAGCAGCTGAAGAGAGAAAGAAAAGAGAATATGCCGAACTAAGAAAGCGTAGATTCGGCGTGAAACTTGATTTATCTGAAATAATTAAAAAATGCAGCGGACCCAACCTTGAGATACTCGAAAATATGGATGAGGAAACGCTTAAGGAAATAGTAAAAGCATGCGGTTTTCAACAATTCAACGATGTAACATTAGCCACCGGCGAGGCTGCTTTGAGATTCGGTGGATCACAACTCATGTTCGACATTGTGAATGGATGCCCTACTCTCGATAAGTGAGTCAATATCAAATTATTGCAGTCTACACTTGTAACTATAATTTAACAATTTCATTGTGATTTCAGAGATGCGGATAAATTTCTACTTTTCCCCCCAGCTAAACAGTGAATTTCTACCTCAATCAAGACCAACATTTCGTATCAAATAAAGCCTTTCTAATTATTTAGACTTTTTTCTAATATAAGACTAAAAAATATATAAATACTTCTATAATATAAATATAAATAAATGTGTGGTGATTAGTGACCGTTAGTGATGATTATTCGGAGATCGTCAGATGCGGTCTGGTGTGACCGTAGGTTTTAGAAAAACATTTTCTTTATCGTGCCAACGTTTCGATCTTTATTGAGATCATCTTCAGGGCCTGGGATTTACAACCACATCCTACATGTATTTGTTAAATTTAAACAATGTTTGTAAATCCCAGGCCCAATGTTACTGTTAAAAAGTGTCGGCCTTTTGACGACCTTATTTCATGACTATTATTGGACTTAGTTAGGGATCTCAGCCTGCCATTATCCTTCACACAACAAAGAACAAGTTCCAATGTTCTGCTGTTTCTTCCTTCCTCTTGGACCAGGCTTGTTTCTGCCGCTCCAAGTCTCTGTGGTCTGCAGTCCAACTATCATTCTAGCCCTGACATACACTTTCTGCCTTAATACTATCTCAACATTGTTGATAGACAGAGATGTTTGCTGTTATTAGTCTTCGATAATTATCAAGCCAGGCTATGAGTGCCATGCATATGTGATTTCTTTGCGTTCGGCCAGTACCAGCCTGGCAGTGCTGAATGCCAAATGTTGTAATTACCAATGATAGACTTCAATAAAGTCTTGATGAACTTTTTCACATGCCTGGAATACATCCCATTGAACTAAGGACATAATCCATTATCTGATGGATCTATGTTTTTGACGAAGAAGACAGAAAGATTCTGTGTGTTCAGTACTTGTGAAACACCGTCTCAGGTTAACCATTTTCCTGAGGTGAAACATTTCGCAACATAGAGGCGAAACAAGGTGAACCATCAGTTGCTTGAGACGAGCATGCCGTTTATAAGTACCCAAACCACTGCATCTTGGCGATACTTTACGTAAAAAGAAAAAAAAAAACAAAGAAAATGCCGTTGGTAGACCAAAGAATAATTTCATTGGCAAACCCCCATTAGAATTTTCATTTTCTCTTTAAGAGTACCAGCAGTCTCATCATAACGTCACAGAGCTGTACTGTATTTTTAGATATTTTTTTAAAGATTATTCAGAAATCGTGAGATGAGGTCTGATGTGATGTAGGTTTCACAAAAACATTTACTTTATCGTACCAACGTTTCGATCTTTATTGAGATCATCTTCAGAGCCTGGGACAGTACTGGCACTCTCAACACGACATGCAAGAATGGCACAATTACACAGAAAACAAACGCTTTGAGTGAGAAGAAATACTTTGATTGAATATAAAAAATATATTTTGCATTGTATAAATTCAGTTTTTCCATATCCTACATGTATTTGTTAAATTTAAACAATGTTTGTAAATAGCAGGCTCTGAATATGATCTCAATAAAGATCGAAACGTTGGCACGATAAAGAAAATGTTTTTCTGAAACCTACATCACACCAGACCGCATCTCACGATTTCCGAATAATCATCGACTAACGGTCACTAATCACCACACATTTTTTTTTTTAGTTTAATTCTGTCAAAACAAAATTTACTAAATGTTGGCAAATTTGCAATTGATTACGCTGTTGCAAACACAAATAATTTTTAATAATATTTAAATAATTAAAATGTATAATACTTAGATGTTTCAGACATATGCCAGTTTTTATTCAATCATTGATTGTTCTATATTAGGTGGTCATAAAATAACAACATCGACAAGATTCTCCCATCAAACCTACAGCCATTTTCATATATTATTACATGCAGTATATATAGTTTGTCAATTGTAAATTATATTTTGAAAAAAACTTATTATTACCTTTATGGGATAGGACAATTAGCCCATTCCCTGTCATATAATGTAAGCAGCATTAATAGCAATCATATGAAATTATTATTATTTTAATGTAGCTAAAAATTTACTACTGATGGAGTTAATAAGCATGTGGGTTAAGGCATTCCCATAGTGGTTAAGGTAGGATGCTTTACATAAGATGAACGAAAACATAACTGAAATGGGGAGACTTACGGCTAGCTTTGGCAATTCCTTGGCGAATTCCAACACTCTCTGCGATCCTCTAGTGTTGTGCTCAACTGATTCTTTTAATCCGGCTTCGAGCTTGAGCGAGGCCGCGAAGTTGAACACGATGCTCACGCTCTTTTTGATCTCGTTCTTCGCGTCAATGCCTATGCCGAGGCCATCCTGGGTGATGTCGCCTTCCACGGCGACCACCTTCTTGAAAACGTCCGGATTCTCTCTTCTCAGACATTCGAAAAGCTATAGAGATAAATAAAAGATCGAGATATTCAGTTGTAAATTGTAAATATCCAATGATGGACGGGAAATACTCACGGGGAGTTTGAACATTTCCGACACCCTAGTCTGCACGTTGTTGCCCCTTTTGGGCCTGCAGATGAAGTAGACGGTTACGATCCCTGGGCAGCATCTAAGCAATTTCTCGATCAGGACTTTTCCCATAAATCCCGATCCGCCTGTGACGAGGATGCTCCTCCCCTTGTACCATTCTCTCATGGACATCTAAAATAAAATAATTTTGATTATGCAACTGTTTTTGTTTAAAAACTGAAGACAGCCCAAAGAGGAATAAAAAATCATCTAATGTAGCTTATAATTAGAATAGAGAGTAGTTTTGGCGTTAACTTTTATATAATAACCAAACAGTAAGTTTCATAATCAGGCGGCTAAAGCCGGGACGTCTCAACTTCCGGACTTAACCACTGCGATCCGGCCCTCCGAAGCTAAAATTGCATAAAAGCAGGATTAAGACAAGGTGGCCGTGTTCGTGGGCCGGATCGGCAGAGAAGCTCTTAATCCAGTAAGAGCCTGTACATAGGTGGCCCTCGTCTAAGAAGGATCATCATCACCTGATTAAGAATGGGTCATGGGAAGTTGACATACGGACACTTACTTTTGGGCCAAAGCCCGCATATGTGTCCGGTACGTGGAGAAAGGTTGTTCGATGTGTCCCATGTAAATGACGGGCGCATTTCATTGGCTCCATATAGGGCGCGTGTAAGAACGTCACTCGATGTGAGAATCGTGTTTGAGTACGGTAGCGAGTATCCGGGTCCCCTAATTTGATTTTAGGAGAAACAGGGTTGTTTAATTACATATAGTACTGATAGTATTATTTCCCTAGCGGATGCTGAGGGTGAATGTATTTATTGGCGTGAATGTGTAGTGTAAGTGGGCTTCTAGTGGAATATTGAGTACCCCACCAACCCTCAATTAGGCTAGTTATAATAACTGTAAAGGGTGATGGAGGAAAATCGATTACTCTACCACCCTAATTAAGTGAATGGTATGTAAAGAATATTTTTTAAGAATGGGCGAAAGCGTGAATAGATTTTGGTTCAGCAATGTTGGACGCTGAAATGACCTAGCTGTTGACAGCACCCAGAGCCCAACCTCGGCTGGACGGATAAGACAGACATCTGACCGGGACAACCTACACCCGAGGTGGGTGATTCTCGCCTGTCGGTAATTGATTGTAAATTACAAGAGTTGGAAATGCCGGTGGACAGGCGTAAATGAATAATAGGCGCAACTCTCTGGGTGTATATATATGTACATACATGTGCAGATTTGAGCTTATATAAATCAGTAATCAATAACGTTGAGATGGTGAGTTGCGGGTGGATCGGCATCACGATAGCTCAATTGGTTAGAGCAGCGGCGTATTGAGCTGAAGGTTGTGGGTTCGAATCCCGCTCGTGACACTAACTTTTTCATTTTAATCAATACCTTACATAAAAAGATTAATTAATTGAAAGAAGTTATTTGGTCAATCATAATACGAAATATAATGGATTTAGTAAATTAATATATATCCATTTTAAAGCAGCGGCGTATTGAGCTGAAGGTTGTGGGTTCGAATCCCTCTCGTGACACTGATTTTTTAATCTCAACCAAAACCTTACATAACAATAATAATTAATTGAATTTAATATTTAAGTTTATATCGGAAATTTGAAACAGATTTTTGTAAATAGGATACGAATTATTTTGAGCAAAAAACATAAATAAACTATTGTGAAGTTAGTTCTAAGCATTTATTTTATTTTATTCTTAATATACGGAAATGCTGGCAGCAAATCTTACATCAACTAAGAAAATTAAATCTAATAATTAAATTAATTTCTTAACTATTATTTCATGGACATCTAAGATAAAAACAGCACTTTTATGGAGAAACGAAGCGTTTTACGCTAAGCCTCGCATACTGTTTGGTTTTTTTTTAGATTTTCCTCATACATATAAAAAACATTTATAATTTGTATAGTAAAAATTATTATTGCAAAATTTATGTAATCTTATTTTTTTGAAAAATGTATTCAAACAACATGACGCTTCACATTCACCTAAATCAATAATGATCGGATGTTTGATTCCGAAGAGTTAATGTCACAGCCTCTTCAAAAAGGCGATTTAACCAATTAATCTTATTCACTTGTAACTATGTCGAAAAACACACAAATTTTGCCAAAAAATATATTGGAGTGAATAAAAAATTTTGCGCAAAATTCATTTTATTTTAATGGATTCTTCAAACAAGGAGATTTTGCAGGTCGATTACACGATGGAACAGGATTTCAAATCTGGTTTCATTCAATGCCCTCTTGTCATTATGGATTTTTTTATCTAGCATCAAGAAAATCGGGTCTAACCGGGAAATTTTATCCGACTTTCCTCACGAATAAAAAAAAAATTGTCGTCGAATTTCTGCAGATTGTTATCATTTAATTTGCTAATAATTATGAACATAACGCACATTTTCAGACTGCAAAACCAAGAAACACAGCTACTGATATTGAAAAGAAAACAGGAATTTTTTGCAAAGCAGGTCGTCCTTGCACAACATCTGGAATTCTCATCGATCATAGTTATCAAGATATTTCAACCGGTTGATAAATTTTACATTTTTCAAAATCCGCACTCCATTCTCGCAAATATGTGAAGAAATAGAGAGAAAGTTGTTGTCTTATGGAAAAAATGTTTATAATTGTATCCCGTAAGAATTGGCAAGTCTGACTATCAGAGAATCCATTATGTCCGATTACTCCGACTTTCTTTTTTCCAACCTGCCCAGAACAAATGTAAAACGTCGGTGTGATTTTATCTGTAAGACGGATTGATTGCCCTAGGGAAAGTGTTGCTCCTATCGAGAAAACAATCAAACCTGAGGAATAACTATGATTTCAAATAATTACTTGAAACGCCAATTTTTAATTTATGAATATTTATTGGTTCGTTAAATCTTACTGATACAGATATTTATTCTTTTGTTTAGCCGTTTAGCCACAATGTGGTCAAATTCAAGTTTGTTCCACAATTGCCATTTTAACCACAACACCATATAAAAAATAATAATATATATATTTTTTATTAAGCAACTGCACCGCAAGTAACAAGTTTATCGGTCGATAAAACAGTCATCTATATTCATTCTGAAACGTATATGGAAAGGGAGAGTCAATGCCGTCAGTGACAAGACAAGGTTGAAACATCCTTAAAAAAGTCCTTGACCCCGTGCCGAAGAAAAGGAAGAAAGAATAAGCGACAACATATATCAATAGTATAATTATTTCCTTCTGCATTTATTATTTTGTCAATTAATAAAATTTCTCGGACAAATCCAGCATCCTTTCATTTGCCTTGATCTCGTTTTCAACACACCGTCGAATTACATTATTGACCAAGTCATTTACAAATACGATCCTACTTTTTATTAACCATTATATATAAAAGTCAAAGCTTACAAATAATTAATAATTTTTAATTTCTAATTTTTTCAAAATATGTTTTTTATTATTCAGATATCAATTAACTACACCTATGAAAGACCATCGTTTCAGAAAGTTCAAGCTTTAATCTGCCACCCATTCATTGTTCTTGATAATTATCCAGGAGTAAAATACAACAGGTTTTGAAGGAATGGCACGAAATGCTATCTAGCAGGAAGGTGTGTCGCAAGGCGGGGTAATCGGTTTTTATTTTTCTTTATTTTTATAATATATTAAAGGCGCAGTATCGAGTGATACAATAAAAGATTTAAGATATATTAATTATTTGTTACACCTTACATGTACTTTCCTTAATAGATTGTTTTTTCCTTCTTTTACCATAATTATTCAGATATCGTGAGATGCGGTCGGGTGTGATGTAGGTTTCAGAAAAACATTTTCTTTATCGTGCCAACGTTTCGATCTTTTATTGAGATCATCTTCAGGGATTTACAAACAATGTTTACATTTAACAAAATTCACTTTTCCACATCCTAAATGTAATTGTTAAATGTAAACATTGTTTGTAAATCCCAGGCCCTGAAGATGATCTCAATAAAAGATCGAAACGTTGGCACGATAAAGAAAATGTTTTTCTGAAACCTACATCACACCAGACCGCATCTCACGATTTCTGATTAACTATCGATTAACTGTCATTAATCTCTACACATTTTTACCATAATAATATTTTCAATATTTACTATTAACTAATGTAATAAAACAATGGCAAAGTGATCACAATGTAGAATTTAGAATCCCTTGTTACTTTTTGTCTACACATACAGCACACAGATCATGTCCATACGTGAAGTTTTTATTGTTAATACACAAGATATTGTATTTTTTCATGGTGTCTTGTAAGCCTTTTATGTAAGAAATTTTCGTCTAGGAGGTTCTACATTTTTTCAAAATTTATAAATTTTAACTCCTCCCGAAGAAATATTCAGTGCTGTCGGGTAAGTGACGTATGGAGAGTAAAAGTAATTTATTAGCGAGAATGGAGTTGATTCAACCCCGCCGCGAGGAAGATATTGAATGTGTGGTTTTATATTTGTACAGTGTGGTGATGTATATATGTGTATTGTGTGTTTTCTTCCTATTCTGTAGTTGACAACCTGAGGGACAAACGAGTCGCTAGCATTTTAGGAGATAAACTTAGTTTTCGTATAAAAGCCGAGTCAGTAACAAATCGAGACGCTCAAATGGCTCCAAGTTTAAACATACGCGTGGAAGACCAGAAAAATAAGCAAAACACGCTGAGAATCGACGACCTACACAAATGGAATAACAGGTTTTACTTTATGATATTTATTTATTTTAAAACATCTAAGAAAACTCTATCCACCGCAAAGTAATAAAATCTAACAGATTAACATCAACATTTGTTGTTGTAATAATTCAAATCAGACTGATTCAGGAAGGTCGGTGGTTTTGCTTTTTCACAATTTCTAAGGCTTATTAACTTTTTCACTCGCGCTCAGAGTAGGTCACAGGATCTGTTTAGACGTTATTCGGACGAAATCGGGATGACATTTTCTGCACGTGAGGATTAGAGTGGAATTTTTTTGTACCTGTTTCTTGTAACTTCTTTCATAAAAGGAGCGTTTAGGCCGTTATGGATGGTGCGGTTGGATACATAGAACGGATCGTTAATCCATATGTTCATGATTCGTTGATTGTAGGGTCTAGATTCTGCGGAGATTGGAAAGTTTGGTAATTGGCTGAACCCCA